CATCCATTTTGGTCTTTTCTTTCTTTCCTGTCTCTTTAACAACTTTTTGCTCTTTTGGTGCATTATGTCCTTGATGTATTACCACAACTCGCCTGGTCTTCAGTCATTGGTGTTCAGTGTGTCAAATCTATTTTTGAGATTGTCTCTAAATTCAAGTGAGATATACTCAAGATCATACTCGGCTCCCGCAGACTTGTTTTAATATTCTTCCACTTCAACTTGAACTTGCATATAAGTGATTGATAGTCAGTCCCTGGCCTTGTTCTGACTGATGACATTGAGTTTTACATGATCTTTTTCCACAAATGTAGTTTGTTTGATTCCTGTGTATCCATCTAGTAAGGTCCATGTGTATACTCACCATTTATGTGGTTGAAAAATTTTTTCTCCAGTGTCATTTCTATCATCAAGGCCATATTTTCCAACAACCAATCCTTCTTTGTTTCCAACTTTCTCATTAAATCATCAGTAATTATCAATGCATCTTAATTTCATGTGTGCTCAATTTCAGACTGCAGAAGTTAGTAAATATCTTTAGTTTCTTCATCTTTGGTATTAGTGGTTGGTGCGTAAACTGGAAAAATAATCCTATTAACTGGTCTTCCTTGTAGGCATATGGATATTATCCTATCACTGACAGTGTTAAACTTCAGGGTAGATCTTGAAATATTCCTTTTGATAATGAATGCCATGCCATTATGTCTCTTTGTCATTCCCAGCACAGTAGACTATAATATGATTGTCTCATTCAACATGGCCAATACCAGTCTACTTCAGTTCACTAACGCCTAGGATATCAATCTTTATGCATTCCATTTCATTTTTGATGACTTCTAATTTTCCTGGATTCCTACTTTGTACATTCCACATTCCAATTATTAATGGATGTTTACTGCTGACTCTTTTCATTTTGAGTGGTGCCATCAGCAAATGAAAGTCCTGAAAGCTTTATTCCATCCACGCCATCATGGTCCACTCTCCTCTGAGGAGGCAGTTGTTCCCAAGTCATACTGAGTGCCCTCCAACCCGAGGAGCTCCTCTTCCAGCACTCTATCGGGCAGTGCTCTGCTGCTGTCCATAAGGGTCTCGCTACCTAGTTTTTTTAGAAGTGGATTGCCGGGTCCTTCTTCCCAGTCTAGGCTAGAAGCTCCACTGAAACCTGTCCACCATGGCTGACCCTGGGAGTATTAGAAACACGGGTGGCATAACTTCCCGCATCACAGCAATGCATGAACCACCACAGTACATCAGACTAACAGACAAATGGTGGTACATTCACATACAACAGCCCAAAGTTTCATGACACGTACTTATCCTTACTATGTGTGAGGTATGCTGATAGTTTCTTTTTCATTTATTTAAAAATGCTGGTCCAAGGTGGGGACCAGGTTTGCTGGTCCAATAGAGCCTGGTGGAACCACCGAGACTATGGACCCTAGCTGTCCTTCAGGTCTGGATTGAACCCACACCTGTGTTTTCCAGCCAAACAATGTACAAGCATGTGAATTAAACATTTACGTCAAGTAGATACACGCTCTGGAGAGAACAATCATGGGAAAAGGAAGGACTGCTTATGCACAGGGAGACAGCTCAGGGGGCAGGAGAGTATGGAGCGATGGTGACTGGGAAGAGGTAACTATGGGGAGGAAGTGGGAGGGGAGCTGTTGCATTGTGGTAATCTGTGGTCAATGACATGAGACAAAGTATATGTGAACTGCTGTATGGAAAGTGAATTCGCTCTGTAAATCTTCACCCAAATCACAATAAATAAATTAAAAAAAAAAACACTGGTCCAACCCACAACACTGATTCACAATCCACCAACGGGTACTGTTTCGATTCTCTAGTGTCACTCAAACAGAAAACACCATAAATACATGGCTTTAACAAACAGGGATTTATTCTCTTACAGCTTAGGAGGCTAGAAGTCCAAGTTCAAAGAGCCAGCTCTAGGGGCTGGGTGAAAGCCCCTCAACCTTGGGCTTCAGCTCTGTCTCTTGTTCCCAGCCCACTGAAGCTAAAGGCTTCTCTTAGGCAGCTGCTGGCTGCTAAGGCTGACAAACCCAAGGTCGACAAATAAAATGGCACAGTCCCAAAATTACCAAACAACATGGCAGGCCACTAGTTCAACTCCAGAGACAGTCCCAAGATTGGCAGGAAACGCGGTAGGCTGCTGAATGAAGACTCAGCTAAATGCAGGGTCCAAACATGACAAAAGGCTCACAGACCTTTCACAAAGCTGCTTCTTATATACTGGAAGCAGACCACATGCCTAAGGCAGTTACTCAACTGCTCATGATAGATTCCATCATGCAGTTGATTACCAGTCTCATCATAGGGAATAACTACATCCAGCGGCCCAGCCACTCAAAACCAGGCCCAGCCAAACTGACACACAACTTAACTACTACAGGTCCTGACACACAGTTTGGAAAACGTGCAATGAACCTACCATGATGGCAGAGTTAAGTCTCACCTCAGTTCTGGTCTCAGATCAGAGTCCCTGTCTACCTGCAACACCGTCCCTCACTTGGAAAACATAACTGCACCCGATAAACTCCTGTGACAATCTAACACAATCTGAGCCCTGTCTATACACATCTTTTGATACAGTTACTCTTTGGGTAATAATTGCCAAGCTCCCCTGGGACACTGAGTGGCTCTACCTCCCATCACAGCAAGGACATAAATGTGTATCTTAACCCAAAATTCTTGTGTAAGAATGAGTTTCTACGGATCTATATCTAGATTTCCTATCTCTCCTCTGGTATCACCTTATATCTCAGACTGCAAAACACCCAAAGGGAAAGAAATTTTACGTCTCGATCACTCTGCATAATATCCAGACGCATCTAATAAGCACTTGCTTCAAAAGGAAAAACAGCTCACATTTGTGAAGTGCTTTTACCTTCAAAAATGTTTTAATATTCACCTCTCAATCTGACTCTCACAACAACCCTGAAAAACATATGGAACAGGTTATCTTCACCCCATCCCATGGATGAGGAAACTGAGTAACTCTTACAGAGGGCTGAGGTTTATCTAATGGATCAGAGCTATAGTGCTTATCAAAATGACACAGACAGCCCTCCACCTCACATTTCCTGACACAGAGCCTCAGGGTGGTGCTATTGGTTCACTCTCCCAGAAAGGAGTAAGGACTTGGACCAGAGCACAGAATGAAAAAGGAGGCTAGGGCCCATTTGGACTTAGAGTACCATGTCGTTGTTGTTATGTGCCGTCGAGTCAGCCCCAACTCATAGCGACCCCTTCTTGGGTTTCCGAGGCGGTATCACTATGGAAGTAGATTGCCCAACCTTCCTTCCGAGGAGTGGCTGGTGGGTTTGAACCGCCAGCCTTCTGGTTAGCAGTCAAGTGCCTTAGCCACTATGCTACCAGAGCTCCTTAGAGTACCACGGTGGATTAGTAATGTTTTCACCATGGCTATAGGCAGTAGGAGTGGGAGTGCATCTTGTGTTTGCCATTCCTACGCTGGTTGTGCTTCTCCTCCTGCCTCTCCCAGAGCAGGGTAATGAGAGGAACAAACCGCTTCTGACAATGACCTCAACTGCCTGAGGCCAAGCTGTAAGAAGAGCAGCACCACAGACTCTGTCCACAGGGAAGGACTGGTCCCCTTCCTCTTCAACTCCAAAATCAGTTTTAGAGCCATAACCAAACACCTTGAGGAAATGAGTCACTGGGTCTACAGGCTCAGGACCATAATCTCAGGGGACACCAAGGTCAACTGTCACAACTTACTCCACAAAAACAATGTTCTACATCCTACTTTGATGAGAAGTGACTGGGATCGTAAAAGATTGTGAGCATCCATCTAAGGTGTAACTATTGGTCTCTCCCTGTGCAGGACGAAAGGAGAGTTAAGAAAATCAAAGTTGCAAGGAAATAATTGGTCCAAAGGATTAATGGATCATGTGAATCACAGACTACATGACCCTGAAACCAGAAGAACTAAATGGTGTTTCCACTGTTGACTGCTTTGCAAAGGATCACAGTAGAAGGTTCTGGACAGACTGAAAGAAAAATGTGGGGCCAAACTCAAAATAATAAGAAAAAGACCAGGCTTGGGAGCTCTGGTGGCATAGTGCCTAAGGCTAAGACTGCTAACCAGAAGGCTGGTGGTTCAAACCCACCAGCCACTCCCCCGAAGAAAGACTGGGCGATCTACTTCTGTAGAGACATTGCCTCAGAAACCCAAGGAGGGTTTCTCTATGAGTTGGATCTGACTCAACGGCAGTTAGTTTGGTTGGTTTAGTTACTGGTCTGATAGAGACTGGTGGAACCCCTGAGACTATGGTCCTCAGATACGCTTCAGGCCTAGAAATGAACTCATCCCCATGGCTCAACTTTCAGCCAAATGAGTGAACAATAATACCAGGGAAGTATGTATGAGATCAAAAGGGCAGCATTCGCCCAGGGATAAAGCTCAGAAGGGAGGAAGGGATAGGGAAGAACAATGATAAACATGGGGAGGAAGTGGGAAAATACTGTTACATTGTGGGGATTGCAATCAGTGTCACAAAATAAAATGTGTGTGAACTGTTGAATGGGAAACCAATTTGCTCTGAACACTTTCACCCAAATCACAATAAAAAGTTAATAAAAAAATTAAAATATCACACATTTAAAGGCATTCAAAGGACCACGGTGGTGCAATAGTTAAACACTTGGCTGCTAACCAAAAGGCCAAGTGTTCAAGCCGCCCAGCCCAGCAGCTCCACAGGAGAAGAAACCTGGTAATCGCCTCCAGTAAAGGTTCCAGCCTAGGAAACCCTATGGGGCAGCTCTGCTCTGTCCTACGGTCACTACGAGTCAGCACACAACAACAACAACACGTGGCATTAATGTAATACACAGAAGTTTCCTTTTACTGATTATTTGGACATTTAAAATAACATAAGCAGAAAAACAAACAAAAAACCAAACTCAGTTTTAGAGCGCAACTTTGTCCAACAGAGGCCCCAGAGCAGACAGCTACTCACCAGTAACAGGGCTTCAAGCTGGTTAATGTAGATTTCTTCGCTGGCCAGGAATCCAGAGAGAACCAGCTTCCGCATCTCCAGGCCCTTCCCTGCTTCCACCTGCAGCCAAGCAAACCAAAAGCCAACCACTCATGAGAAAGGAGGCCAAAGTTCTGAGTGGCCTGTTCTCTTGTTTTTCCTCTCTTCTTTTAACTAACACTTCCATAGGAGAGAAAAGCCAGATAGACTCATTATAAAGTATTTGGAAGATAGAAATACAGAAGGAAAAATCCACTCACATTCTCACTATTAACATCTTGATTGTTGCTTTCCCATCTTTTTATCATTTGCTTATTTGATATCCATCCATCCATCCGTCCATCAATTTACCCAACCTCATAACAGACGGCAGGATAACATGGGAACTGCCCTCATGTCTGGCAGTTTAATGGGGGTACCATTCAGTAAAATCAATGGGTGGTGCAAACACTTAAGGTGCTCAGCTGCTAACCAGAACTTTGGAGATTCAAGTCTACCCAGAGGTGTCTGGAGGAAAAAAAAAACAACAGCCACTGAAAACCCTACAGAGCACAGATCTACTCTGATACACATGGGGTCACATGAGTTGAGTATGGAGTGTACTCTATGGCAACTAGCTAAAGTTACAGACAGGGAAATCAAAATCATGGCAGAGGTACAGCTGTCACAAGGAAGGACACAGCAGGGACCAGAATCTAAGCCTAGAAAAAGACGAGACTCTGAAGGAGATGATGGACAAGCTGAGAGAAGCAGAGGTGGACGGAAGGAGGATGGAAGTGGGTCTGGGACCTCCAGCCGTGTGGTCTTCCAGCTGCACTTCTGATTATATCGTCCTGCCCCTAGGGGCTCACTCCCACAGGACATAGTGCTGCGTGGCACCCCAGTGTTTCCTGACTACGTCGCTATGTGACACACAGATGCAAAGAAGCCTTCTCCTCCCTCCAGAATTGCTGCTCCTCCAGGGTAGAGAGCACACCTTAAATGCCCTTCAGTCCACACAGTACCCGGCACATAGAAAGTACTCAAAAAGCGGTTTAAGGAGAGAAAAAAAAAAAAAACAAAACACAATTGTCCCTGTCATCTAGGACCCCCAGGAATCATCCGGGCCCCTCTTCATCTCTCTCCCCTCCCTCTCCCATGTTTAGCCTCAAGTCCTTGGAAGCTTCCTTATTAATCTCATATGCAACTCTTCTCTTCTGTCTCACCCTCCCCTCTGCTGTAGTGCACTGCACCCCACTTTGCTGCCCAGTTCCCCTAACTGACCTAACTCTCCTGAACCCACTTCCTGTCCACACACCAGAGCCAGATCGATCCGAGAATGCCGCCTTATGCCTGACATTTGTCACAGACCTGTATCAATACTGCAAAAGGTGATTATCTGGGGATTCAATTAGGTTATTTGTTTCTTTCTTCATTCGTTCAACAAGTATTTACTGAATGCCTACCAGACCCTGTAGATACAATGAGATACAATCAGACTCCTGCTCTCATCTGTCTTAGACTCTAATGGGAGAGAAAAGTATTAAAAAAGGAAGTAAGTAAACATAAGATTAAAAACTGACAGGTTTATTGTTGTTAGCTGCCCTCAGGTTGGTCCCTGACTCATGGTGGTCCCACGTACAATGGAACGAAACGTTGCCTGGTCCTGCACATCCCATGACTGACTGCTGATCGGACCACTGTGGGTTTTCATTGGCTGGTTTTGGGGAGCAGACCATTAGGACCTTCTTAGTCTGGAAGCTCTGCTGGAACCTGCTCAGTATCACAGCAACACACAGGCCTCCAATGACAGACAGACAGGTGGTGGCTGTGCAGGTGGTGCATTGGCTGGGAATGGAACCCAGGTCACCACATGGAAGGTGAGAATTCTACCACTGAATTGTGGGTCCAGCATATCCTTAAGGTAAGTGAAGCACCATTAGCAGCCCCTAGGGCCTGTTCCTTCCAATCTCCCCTACAGCCATCTAGACTCTGAGTATTCCAGCCTCTGAACCTCTGTTCTTACCTATTTCTACTGCCTAAAATGCCCGCACTCACCCTGGCTCTTCTTGTCCAAATCTTACCTCTACTAGAAGGTACAGCTGAAGTTGTGCCTCCTCATCAAGCCTCCCTGGACCACCCTGGCCTGCAGCCTCGGCTCTCCCCTCAGAGTGTGTAATACTGACCCTGAGCACCTTGGGGTACTGCCTATATTGTCACTCACGATATCAATGAGCCTCTGAAGCAGCTGTATCCCATCCCAGAAGCCCAGCACCATACAATACACACAGAGGCACCCAACATTTATTAAGCCTTATATGTCCTTTCGAGGAGCTCTGGCAGAGCAGTGCCTACGGCGTTTGACTGCTAACCAGAAGGTTGGCAGTTCTAATCCACAAGCAACTCTGCAGAAGGAAGACAGGGCAATGTACTTCTGTAGAGACTGACTGCCTTGGAAACCTAATGGAGGTCACCATGAGTTGGAACAGACTCTATGGCAGTAGTTTGGTTTTTGGTTTGGTTATTCGTCCTTTCGAAGTCCCAACGTGGTGCAAACAGTTTGCACTGAACTACTAAGCTAAAGGTTGGTGGTTCAAATCCACCCAATGGTACCATGAAAGACATGGCCTGATGATTTGCTTCCATTCAAATTACCATCAAGAAAGCCCTTAGGAGCAGTTCTACTCTGTAACACACAGGGTTGCTGTTCTGGTTACCTGGTGCCACTCTGACAGGAATATATACCACAAATGGGATGGCCTTAACAAACAGGAGTTTATTCTCTCACAGTTTGGAGGCTTTAAGTCCAAGTTCAAAGTGCCAGGCTCTAGGGGCTGTGTGAAAGCCCCTCGACCTTGGGCTTCAGCTCTGCCTCTTACTCCCAGCCCACTAGAGCTAGAGGCACGTCTACACACTGGCTGCTGAGGCTAACAAGCCAACAAATAAAATGACACAGTCCCAATGTTACCAAACCACACGGCAGGCCATTAATTCAAGTCCACTGTAAGTCCCAAGGTCGGCAGAGCATGGCAGTCTGCTGAACAATGACACGGCTACATGCAGGGTCCAAGAGTGCCACAAGCTAGAGACTATCCCCACAGCTTCTCCTTTTATACAGGAAGCAGACCATATCCCAAAGGCAGCTACCCAGCTGCTTGTGGTAGATCCCACCATGGAGTTCATCGCCAATCCCATCATGGAGATTAACTACCACCAGCTGCCCAGCCACTCAACCAGGCCTAGCCAAGGTGACACACAAACATAACCATCACAGTTGCTATGTATCAGAATTGACTGACAGCAATTAACATCAACAACAAAAGCTATTTTACTCCCTCACTTAGCCCTCAAACACCCCATTGAGGTGGGTACTGTATTAATCCAATATATAAATGCAAAAAGGGATGCGAATAGCCCAGGGTCACACAGCCAGGAAGTGGCAGTGCTGGGATTCTATCCCAGGTGCCCTAACACCAAATACCATGTTCTTCCACTGCACCGATGATTTCCCCACTCTCATGCTCCTTTCCAAGGATCGGATGTTTATCTGGAATCTCAAATAGATCCCTTTCTGGGCATCGAGTGGGCATCCTTCACACAGGCTGGGACAGTGTCTGATGAAGTCATCAGAAATCATGTAAGTGCTAAGAACAGCTGCTGTCCCCAGCTGGACCACCTGCCCCAGCACACTGTCCTAGGCTTTCCCACTCTTTCCCCAGGCCAGGGGTTTAATCCTTTGCCTCCCATCAGCAACTCAGTTAGTGATCTGTACTGAATCAGTACAGTGTGGCAGACAGAATGACGGTCCCCCCAAGATGTCCACATCCTACTCCCCAAAACCTGTGACTATGTGACCTTATATGGCAAAGAGACTTTGCAGACGTGATTAAGAGTTCTGAGACGAGGAGAGGATCCTGAATTTCCAGGTGGCCCCTATATAGTCACAAGGGCCCTTATAAGAGGGAGGCAGGAGGGTCAGAGGGGATATGATGACAGAAGCAGAGACAGAGAGATTTGAAGATGTGATGCTGCTAGTTTTAAAGATGAAGGATGGGGTCACAAACCAAGGAATGCAAGTGACCTCTAAAAGTTGTCTAAAAGGCTAAAAGGCTTCTCCCTTAGAAACTCCAGAAGAGTTGCCGACCCGTTTTAGTTCTGCCGACCCGTTTTAGACTTCTGACCTTCACAACTATGTTGTTGTGTACTGTCAAGTTGATTCCGACTCACAGAAATTCTACAGGACAGAGTAGAACTGCCCCATAGGAGTTTCTAGGCTGTAATCTTCTCAGGAACAGATGGTCAGGGCTTCTCTCCCACAGAGCAGCTAGTAGGTTCAAACCTCTGACCTTCTGGTTGCAGTTGAGCGCTAACAATTGCACCACTAGGGCTCCTTTTCCAGAACAATAAGAAAACATATCTGTATTGTTTTAAGTCACTAAATTTGTGGTAATTTGTTTCAGCAGCAGTAGGAAACCAATATAAACCCCAAGCTTTGGGGAAAGGCAATAGTTATTTACTGGTGGCTTCATGTGTACCAGGCATGTGCTAACAGCTTCACATAAATGAACTCACTTGAACTTCACAATCTGGTAGGTGTTATTATTATCCCATTTATAGTTAACAGAGACTGGAAACTACCATCTGCCTCGAGCTGTCCACATTACAAGGCAGGCAGCACAGCCTCTGCGGAATAAGATCAGAGACTGGAGCAGGGCCCCAGCCCCAGATCCTCAAGGGCAGGCCTGAGGCGGCCCCCTGCCTATCACATAAACCCTGCTGCTTCCCAAGTCTGCCAAATAGCATTCCTCTCCTGTGCCCCATTTTCCAACCTGGCAACCAAGGACTTGCTCTGGCAAATGGTCCCCCCAAGATGTCCACATCCTAATCCCCAAAACCTGTGACTATGTGACCTTATATGGCAAAGAGACTATGCAGATGTGATTAAGGGTTCTGATGTGATTAAGGCCTGGAAAACACACTCTCTACAGGCATCGCCTGGGGCAGACTATGAGCTTAACTTGGTAGGATGTGTAAAGCTGGTTGGACTAGGATCAGGGTACGGAGTCTATGATTTGCGGCCCCAGACCCAGACAAGCCTTCAT